TATTAAAAGCACAGAATATAAACACACAAACAGAGCAACACAAACCTGATAGGCCTATAAATGTTTACATGTTTTCCCCTCATCTAGAAAAAACAGTCACGTGTCTGTGATCATATTCAGGCCACAGATCTTCTGCTGGTTCCAGACTTTTATTGGGGATCATCAAGAATATTTGCCTTTATGTTACCAGGCACATTTAATGACAGATTCTTATTCAGACAAATTTCCTGGCAGGAGACAAAGGACTCCTGTAGGGAATGGATACTGGGATTAAATAAAACAGTGGCAGACACACTAGATGGCGCCAGAGCCCACTCAGACATAACTTAGTGCCTCCTGACTGTATTTCACCATTTGAAATGGAAACTGCAGTCTCGTAACTTTTAACCTCTCTGGATGTTCGGTCAGAACAATGCAAAACTAAATAATAAGATTGCATCCCATCAAGTTAATGGGACAGTTCTCTGCTTCACTGTGTGTTTTTGCAAGCATTATTTTGTCATAGTCAGTTAAAGGTTGAGACTCACTCACTGATGTGTGCGACAGGCCGGCCTTTCCCCAGGGTCCACCCAGCCTCCTCTCCACCCTCTCAGTCAGATTTTACATGTCCACTCTTTCTCCACGTCTGAGGATTTGGATTGAGGATCCACTGATGTCATTAACCCCAGCACCCTCTCCCACGGCCCCCTCATCGTTGCCGGCCAGAGCGAGGTTCTTTTTCTTGGCTTAGGTCGGTGAGGGCTTTATATATAGTCAGTCGGGCGTCATCCAGTTTCTTCTGACGACGGCTTTTAGTTTGTTCTTAGTCATTCAGCTGATGATGTTTTCCATGAAATACAACTTCCACTTACCCCTCCAGTGATTTCTGGTGTTATCCGGCTCAGGAGATGTTCTTTCAAGTGGCCGCATTCACACGTGCTAGGAAAGCCTGACAGGTCTCCAATGGGCCCTACGCCCATGAGATGATGCTTGACAGATTCATCTACAACATTTGTAATAACCACGAGAGACTTGACTTGGACTCTAGCTCAAAGATTTGTGAGCATCTCTGGCTTATGGACTAGCTTTGTTAACTCTGGGTTTTCAGCTAGTTTTGTTAACCCAGAGTTAACAAAGCTATTTGGCAATTGTAAATCAATCAATTAAGTTCAGTTACAGATCGAGGGTGTTAATATAGAAAGAGTACATGTAATGAAATTCCTTGGAGTGATTATAGATGACAAGATTTGCTGGAAATCTCGCATAAAACATATCCAAACAAAACTGTAGAATTATTTCAGTCCTGGCTAAAGCTAAGCACATTCTAGATTACATATCTCACCACATTTTGTATTGTTCACTGGTGTTACTGTATTTAAATTACTGTGTAGAGGTTTGGGGTAACACATATCAAAATTCATTGCAATCGTTATTTATACTTCAAAAAACAGCAATGAGAATAATTCATAACACTGGATATTTGGAACACACCAACTCATTATTTTCACAGTCTAAAGCATTAAAACTATTTGATCTATCTGAATTTCAAACAGCAGTAATTATGTTCATGGCAATGTACAGAAAAGGTTTTCGGAAAGAGAGCGGGTCTACGACTTAAGGGGAAAGTCAAATTTTAAAAGGCCCAGTTTTTGAACTACTCGAAAAAGTTTCTGTTTATCTGTCAGGTGTCAAATTATGTAATAAACTAAATAATGAATTAAAGCAACGTCTAAACATATTCCATTTTAAAAAGAAATTATATTCCAGAGGTAAAGAGAATAATAAATGCTAATAATAACCTGGGGTTATATTGAATAATTTGTAGTATGTATAAATGTTGTCGTGTATGGGTAATATCTGTATGTGAATGGAACTTTTGAATATATATTTTCATTGATTATAGATTTATTATCTCTGTAGACTTATTTTGTAGTGATTTACTTAAATATGGTAGTACGGGTATAAAAAGGTAACAAAGGTAGGAGTTCATAAGTTTTACTTCTTCCTACCTTCCTTGTGTAAATAGAGGTTTTTAAGTACTGGAAAGTATGGAGTTGTACTTTGTTGTTCATTTGTTTTTTGTTTCGTTGATTATATTTTTAATTTTACTTACATGTTCAAAATAAAGATATCAATCCTCCTGTGTATGTTCTATTATTCTGTCATTTAACGTAGATTATTTAGTTTTGGATGAAGATTTTAAATCCAATAAAAACAACAGTTGTATTGTCTATCAGACAAGAGCAATTTTTTTAACCTGTGAATGTATATATGAAATGTTAGTGTAGTTTCAGATTTGGATAAATATGGACGTCCATTTTGGGCCGAAATCTTAAAAAATGAGACAAAAAACTACAAACTGAACTCTTGACCGACAGACCTGATTTAGTCCAAAATAGAAGACACATTCTGCAGAACGTCGACACTTAGTATACATTTAGGTGAAGATGTACTTAAATGTAGTAATATATACCAAATACGAATCCCAAAAAATTTAATATGGTTTAAACAGATGGAACTAGGTCCCAGCATGCAACACACACACGAAAACTGCAGCGTTGAAAAACTGCTTAATCTCTCCAATACACAACAAACAGCTGTCTTTGTGATCTTTATTAAAAGTAAGAATTACAGAGTGGTTCAGCTGAAGGGCAGAGCTCATACACCAGAGGGCTGTTAGAGAGTCTGACCCAGAGAAACAGAGAAGACGTTTAATGCTAGAGAATAATTGTGGAGTCCAACAGAAAAGCCTTTCTCAGCCTTGAGCCACAGTGGAAACTCCTTTCTCACAGGAAAGCATGAAACAAAACAATCTCACAGAAGGTCATTATATCAAAACACTGGTACACTTAGTGGGAATTATAACACCACATAAGATGAGCAAAGAACATAAAGTAATGACATATAGAGGATTATTAAAAGTACAGACAGGTAAAATCTTTGTTTCTATTACAGTTCCCCCTTCGGCCGTCCCATGGTCACATTAAGTTTATAACAGTTCATCAATGAATGCTCTCATCTTACTGTTTAAGCAGACATATCATTAGGAGACAAAAGAAATGAGCTTCAGCTGTTTTTATAGAACAGAGATATTCTTGAGTAATGAGCAAGTTACCAAGCAGTTTGGTCTAAATCATAAATGTTGTCATTGTCATGATCAGGTGGATTCAATCAGGTGAATCATTTGACATGTTGGTCGGCGTCCCTCAGACTGATATATTTACATTATATTTATACATTAATTAGCTGCAAACAGTACAAACAACCCGCAGAGGAGATGGTGCATGGGTTGGTGCAGGAGCCACGTTGAGAGCTTCAGTCTGCTTCAAAGAAGAGCTTCTTCAAGAATCAAAGAGAACCTTTTATTGTGAGCCGACATGTCTTCACCTCAGCTGTCATAAATTTGGATTTGCTTTCAGTCTGAACAAAACCACATTCAGTAATAGAAAATAAAAACAGTGAATATAGATGTAAACTACAGATTATCTAACGTAAACATGTTTAACTACAGCTCAGTAACAAGAATATATGTATGAAGCACACAGAAACAATATTTCATCAAGTGTGGAGGTTCATTCTTAACCTTGGGGGACACATCTGTAATAAATGAGTCTGAACTCAAGCCTCACACACCACCTCTTTGTTGGAGCTTTTGACCACATCCCATGGCCTTCTTAAAGAGTCACTAAACCCCCAAACCTCTTATTTCAGCCAATGTGTATGGGTATTTAGTAGTGTTGATGATGGATTCAGGTCCAAATCTTGACACTTTCCTGTAAACCAGGGGTTTTCAAAGTGTGAGGCAGGCCTCCAAACAGTTTCAGGGGAGGCTCAGTGAATGAAAGTGAAACAATATTACATTACTTAATGCATTAGTTATCAATCACATAACAGATCACATAGTATAGCCAACATGTGTGAGTTCAGATCCAGTAGTATTTGGGAATTGTTCCCCCTCCCCATCAGTGTCAGAAACGAATAAATGCCTTAGGACAGACCTTTCTTGGTGTATCCAGAAGTTACAGACCCCTCCAAAAGTATTGGAACGGTAAGGCAAATTCCTTTGTTTTTGTTGTTCACTGAAGACGTTTGGGTTTAAGATCAAAGATGAGTGTGAGACAAGAGTTCAGAATTTCAGCTTTTATTTCCTGGTATTCACTAGATGTTTAACAACTTGGGACATACCGCCATTTGTATTGGATCACAGCATTCTTAGGGGAGTAAAAGTATTGGAGTAAATAACATTTAATATTTGGGTGAATAACCCTTGCTTGCAATAACTGCCTCAAGCCTGCGACCCATCAACATCACCAAACTGTTGCATTCTTAATTTGTGATGCTATTTCAGGCTTTTACCGCAGCTTCTTTCAGTGGTTTCGGGGTGTTTCTCCCGTCAGTCTCCTCTTAAGGAGGTGAAATGCAGCTCTATTGGGTTAAGGTCAGGTGATTGACTTGGCCAGTCTAAAACCTTCCACTTTTACCCCTGATGAAGTCCTTTGTTTTGTTAGTGTGCTCTAGATGTAAATACCAGGAAATAAAAGATAAAACTCTGAACTTGTCTCATACTCATCTTTTGATCTTAAACCCAAATGTCTTCAGGGAACAACAAAAACAAAGGAATTTGCCTTACTGTTCCAATACTTTTGGAGGGGACACGTCAAACAGCGATATTAGGCTATTTTGGCTCAAATGTTCAGTATCTATGGGATCAAATAATATAAACATCATCCCACTGGCATCCAGGAGTTGAGTGAAACTTACCAAGTGTACTAAAGATTTACTCTCTTCTGGGATGCCGTTTCCCACGCTTTGTCTGAGGGGAGGTCCGCAGTCTCAGACTTTGAAAACCCCTACGGTACACTCTGAATTCTACACGCAGTGCTAGAAAAATGCAGTGACTGCCCTCTACTGGCTGAAACCTGCCTACAACAGTTTAATTTTTCTGTCATCGCATGACATTAGTCCAGCACAGTCACATGATAACAGGTAGCTCACCTCTGTGGAAGATGTCACTCTGATACTTTGTGAATGGATTTGTGTCTTCTAAGGTTTCTCCTGTATGCATAAGATTTGCCACATTGGCCACAGCTGTACGGTTTCTCTCCAGTGTGAACACGTTGGTGGATCTTCAGGGAATCTAATCTAGTGAAAAATTTTCCACACTGGTCACAGCTGTACGGTTTCTCTCCAGTGTGAACACGTTGGTGGCTTTTTAGGGTACCTGAACTACTAAAAGATTTTCCACACTGGTCACAGCTGTACGGTTTCTCTCCAGTGTGAACTCGTTGGTGGATTTTCAGAGAACCGGATTTCTTGAAAGATTTTCCACACTGGCCACAGCTGTACGGTTTTTCTCCAGTGTGAACTCGTTGGTGGATTTTCAGAGAACTTGATTTCTTGAAAAATTTTCCACACTGTTCACACCAGTACGGTTTCTCTCCAGTGTGAATACGTTGGTGGATTTTTAGGGTACTTAATCTACTAAAAGATTTTCCACACTGTTCACACCAGTACGGTTTCTCTCCAGTGTGAACACGGTGGTGGATTTTTAGGTCACCTGATTGAGAGAAAGTTTTCTCACACTGGTCGCAGCTGTACAGTTTCTCTCCAGTGTGAACACGTTCGTGGATTTTTAGGGTACTTAATCTACTAAAAGTTTTTCCACACTGTTCACACCAGTACGGTTTCTCTCCAGTGTGAACACGGTGGTGGATTTTTAGGTCACCTGATTTACTAAAAGTTTTCCCACACTGTTCACACCAGTACGGTTTCTCTCCAGTGTGAATACGTTGGTGAATTTTTAGGGTAGTTAATCTACTAAAAGATTTTCCACACTGTTCACACCAGTATGGTTTCTCTCCAGTGTGAACACGTTGGTGCATTTTTAGGTAATCTGATGTATTGAAAAATTTTCCACACTGCTCACAACAGTGAGGTTTCTCTCCAGTGTGGAGACGTCTGTGGATTGTTACTTCACGTGATGTGCTGAAAGCTTTGCCACACTGTTCACAGCTGTACAGTTTCTCTCCAGTGTAAACACTCTGATGAATCTTCAAATATCCAGATGTGAAGGATTTGTCAGAGTGTTGACGTTTGAGTCCATCTCTTCTTCTCCTTTTCTATATCAACAGAGAGAAATACAGTAAGTGAGATAGTGGAGTCACCTATATAAAACCATAAATGACATTGGAGCACATCTTATACTAACCTATTCTACAACACAGGGAGTATGTACGGTCTATTACATAGTCCTTCACAATGAAGTACTCAAGCAAATTGTGTAAAGGTCACTGTTTTTCACGTTTGATCTAAAGAACGATCAGGAATTAAGGTAAAACTAAAAATTTACATTCGACATCTTGTCGAAAGTGTGTAAATGCAGACAGCTGGAATTATTTTGAAAGCATTGCAGGAAAGGCCCAAAAGAGATTAACTGTCTGGAAATTGAATAAATTAGGAAAATAAATCTCCTTAAAGACCACACTTTTCTGTGGCTGAAAGTACGCAAAAGTAGTCAACAAGAAACAACAGAAGAATAAATCACATTGGATTTGAAAGGATAATAATGCTGTAATACTGAATAGGCTATATAAAGTTAAAAGATACTTAAAATAGGTCCATAAAAAGGAAAAGTTATAATGATGTAATTCAGTTTAAAATCTGATCTGCAATTTCTTTATTAAACAGGAGTAAATTAAAATGACCAATAATCTGCAGATCAGTAATCTATTGCTTTTTAGGTAAAAGGAGGATAAAAAGATAAATAGGATAAAAAGACCATCTGTGTTTAAAATGCCGTCTTATTTACCTTCTATATAATTTTGAGGAAATGCACCTTAAAATTCCAATTTGCAGTGTTTGCTTTGTTTTTTAACAAGTTTCACTTTCTTCTTCACATATGTTTAAAATACCAGTTTGTGAAAAGGCAAGATCCTCTTTTTTAATGCAACACTACTACTGAAGTTAAATTGTTAACTTTTCTGAATTAATGATAAATGTATCAGTATTTAGCTTGTTGTGCCATTTAAGTACTTTGTAAGGGTACATATTTTTATTTTATTATTTAAATAATCTGTTGTACCGTTTCTGTTGCCAATGCTTATTTGAGATGGTGTGAAGGTATTTTGATATATTTTTGGTAAGTTTAAAAGGTTAAACTCCTCATCAATTTTGGAGCAAATGCAAATGAGTACTTATCCTAGCATATTGCATGCCATACATAGAGGCTAACCCGGGATGTCAAACTAACCATTTTTTAAAGAATTGAAGTAATCCAGCCTAGAAGTAACAAATGCATGGACTAGTTTTTCTGCATCATTTTTATTCCTGATTTTCGCAATATTATGTAGGTGAAAAAAGGCGGTCCTTGAAATTTGCTTAATGTGAGACTTCAAGATTCCTCACAGTGGTGCTGGAGGCCAGGGTGATTCCATAAAGGGAAACTATATCTTTAGATAATGCGTCACGGAGGTGCTTAGGCCCCAGAGCAATGACTTCAGTTTTATCTCAATTTAACATTAGAAAATTACAGGTCATCCAGGTTTTAACATCCTGAAGGCACATTTGAAGTTTAGCTAACTGATGAGTTTCAACTGGCTTGATCGATAGATATAACTGAGTATCATCTGCATAACAATGAAAGTTTATGGAATATTTCCTGATAATATTGCCTAAAGGAAGCATATATAAAGTGAAGATTGGTCCGAGGACAGATCCTTTTGGAACTCCATGACTAACTTTGGCGTGCATGGAAGACTCATCGTAAACATGTACAAACTGATACGATACTGATCGATCTGATAAATAGGACTTAAACCAGCTTAGAGCGGTTCCTTTAATGCCAATGAAATGTTCCAGTCTCTGCAATAGGATCTGATGGTCAATGGTATCAAATGCAGCACTAAGATCTAATAATAAATCTTTATTTGTAGAGCACTTTTCAAAAACAAGTTACAAAGTGCTTTAACAAGTGTAAAGACAATAATACCCAAGAGACAATACAAAAACAATACAAGATAAAAGCATGAAAACATTGAAAAGACTAAAATAAACATTTAAGATAAATATAAAATTAGTAAAATACAATAAAAAGGGATAAAATAAAGTCAAATAAGATCGAGAAAGGCTCTCCTATAAAAGTATGTTTTAAGAAGTGACTTCACTGGAAGGGAGTTCACTGACTCAGCCGACCTGATTTCCTCGGGCAGGCTGTTCCAGAGCCTCGGGGCCCTGACAGCAAACGCTCTGTCCCCTTTAGTTTTCAGTCAAGACTCTGGAACAGACAACAGACCTCTGCCCGAGGATCTCAAGGTACGTGCTGGTGCGTATGGGACTAAAAGGTCAGAAATATAACAAGGCGAGAGGCCATGAAGAGCTTTAAAAGTGATCAATAGAATTTTAAAGTCAATTCTAAAACATACTGGGAGCCAGTGTAATGAAGCTAAAATAGGAGTAATGTGGTCATATTTCTTTGTTCTGGTTAAAAGCCTGGCAGCTGAGTTCTGGACAGTCTGGAGTCGATCAATAGATTTTTGGGTTAAACAGGTGAAAAGGCTGTTGCAATAATCCAGGCGTGATGAGATGAAGGCGTGTAAAATGGTCTCGGTGTCCTTAAAAGTTAACATTTTTGCTATATTTCTAAGTTGATAAAAACATGATTGAACAAGCTTTGTGGTGTGCTGCTCGAAATTTAAATTACTATCAAACCAAACACCAAGGTTCTTTGCCACAGGCTTATGAACATCAGGCTTAATTACACTGGCTCCCAGTATGTTTTAGAATTGACTTTAAAATTCTATTGATCACTTTTAAAGCTCTTCATGGCGGCTGGCAGATATATTTAGAATACGTCAGAAACTATAGTTTAATGGCTTATTAACATTAATGCTCCTCCACTGATAAACACGGAATTAGCTTTGTTTTTTTGTGTTGAGGCAGTGTTGTTAACAGGGGAGCTGCAGCTGTTCGCCCTCTGGTGGGCAAACTATGCAACACACATGACAATCCAAGATGGCGCAGAGTATAGCTGCCTCAGTGTTCGGTACGCTTTGTTTTGTGTGTTAATTCAGTTTTCGTCTGTGTTTCCCGGTGCTCTTTCACCAGGGAGGAGCTCATGAACATCAGGGGAACAACACACTTTTCATGCGTCATCAGTGGAATTATTGGACATTTTGGTGAAGGGCTATACATCGGTAGGGCTCTAACTAACATTGCTCTGTATCTTTCACTGGAGGCTCAGCAATGTGAGCACAGCTAAATGTACTCGATGATAACAAATCGGTTAGTGAGCTGGACTGGTTATTATAATAAGATTGTTGTCACACTGTCCTGAGACGTTATGTTGCATTATTGTATATTATGTTGGTCACGTAAGTTACAGCGACTGAGACGGCGGAGAAGCTGCGTACCTGAGTATCGGTAAAACGACAATAAATCTAAATTGAACGTGTCTCTCTCTGCGTCACTGAAGGCTAGTACAAACAAATTGTACTGTTACATTTTTTCTTACTGGCTAAAATCTACAATTTGACAAAACACTGGCGGTACACAGGATAGTAATATGGGTCACTGATAGGGATGGGTGTCAAGTAGCGATACCTTTAAAAGGTATCGACTGAAACAGTACTAGTATGAAAACATCTCCAGTCAAACCAGTAAATGCTCCGTACTTGTATAGCACCTTTCTAGTCTTGACCACTCAAAGCGCTTTTACACTACATCCACCAGTCACACACATTCATACACTGAGCCTAAGGGCTCAAACTGTTCATGTTATTCCACTCTGTGAAAGCAGGTTTTAATTGTAGGTTTCATTCACAGAAATCGAGGTGCTTGTGAGACGGTTAGAGAGACGGTTAGATAGCTCATATTGTTTGATGCAGCTTGTTCTAACAAAAGAAAATTCCTAGAGTTTAACAGAATTATATTATTCTAAACAAAAGGTTTTAGGTAGAAAGGTTTCTGGTCGGCTGTTACAACTGGCCTGCATCATGTTGAGGATGAAGTGTAGCGACTGTGCGAGACCTGTCACCGGCTTTATTTCCAAAGTTTGTTCATTTACACAGTCCATATGTGCAGGTGGTGAAGACGCGTCGGGTGAGTCGAGGTGAGAAGGCAGATCTGAATGTGTCTCAGTGCTCCTGACAGCACAGTCTGTTCATTGCAGCGACTTTACACAAAAACTAAACTGAAGACTAAATGGTGAAAATTGTGGTTGGTGAAAAATAAATTAATAATAAATAAATTCACCTGACATTATCCTGGCCTCATGCTGACAGTTCAACAGCTGTGGTGCTCCACAACAGTTCGGCCCTCCCCTCTCACTCCGGGGAGGAGATTTGAGTTGGTACTTGACATATCTTTTACAAATGAAAGGTGCGATATGCAATAGTTATGGCTGAAAAGCACCAGCTAACACTGCTGGTTTGAACATGTGACATTAAGTGAAATTAAATGTGTGAGAGGCATCATTTTCTATTCCTCTAAAATTCAAATTTATTTTATGTTTGTATGTATTTCAAATGTATTTTCTAGATTTTTCTGCAAGCTGGCCGCAAGCTAAACCAACTACAACAGGCAAGTGACAGACTGTGACGCCACATATCACCAGAGCCTTCTCTATTTTATAGCCTAATAACCAATCGATAGGTGTCATTAGTGTTTACTGGCATTAGTCAGGCATAGGACAAAAGCAGGAAACAAACAATACAGGAGCACATAGGCCCTCTCCCAAGATAATTAGTTATTTGAAGGGGGGGGGGCTGCGTTTGACTGCATCCTGACTCTGGCTAAATCTAATCTGTTCACTGCAGATTAAACCTTCCTTATCTGATCACTATATCTTCTGTCTTAATTTCTCCAACCCCTTTTCAAACTAACTTTTTATGGTTTTTGCTACTGTTACATGCAGAATTTATAAACTATGTGAAAGAACACATTAACTAACCCCCAAGATGAACCGGAAGTTAACCTTCAGAGTCTATATAAGAGGCATAATGACAGCATATATAACAGCAGACAGTAACAAAGGCCGTGTGGAAGAGAATATGTGACGCCCTTTAGTCTTTCTACCCAATCAATTTCAACCCAGCACTAATGTTGATTATATAAAGCACCTCGAATGCCTGCATGAATGAATGAATGTTTGTCTTGTCTCGTTTGTCCTATTTGTCTTAATGAATGAATGGCTACCTGTGTCGTTTGTCCTTTCACGCGTCCTGTGCCCTATATGTCCTACGCTAGTTTGAAAACTGTGATAGTTGCCTGCAGCTTCGGTATCATCATTGCCACGTATCTACCAGCACTATGCTAAAATACACAAGGAGATATGTATCTTCAAAACATCATGAAAGAGATTCAAGCACTCACTCCCAAAACAAGCAGCGGTGAAGTCACAGTGAAGGTTAACAAGAAAGCCTCCTCACAGATCAATCAGACGGATCATTGTTTGTTCTGCGCGCTCCGCCATTACACGTGCGCTGCACCGCGCATGCGCCGCGCGGGAAAATGGCGACAGTTACACAACAAAGAAAAGAGAAATGTTTTCTTTCAGCTTCCTCTCTTCAAGATGAAAACAGGAACCACGGAGACACTTTGGAAATCAAACCACGTCAACACAAACCCTGGAGCGGGTTTTCAGGCTCTGATCTCTAACAACAGAATGAACGGATGATACACGGACCCTCGAGACTCTTCCTCGTGTCTTTAGTCTCGTGATGAAGTCATGAACACTGACCTGAACATCGGCGCTATCAGAGCACGAGGCTGCTGTTTGGCTCCTGCGGTCCGGGTTCTGGTTCTCCATCGTCCTGCAGGTCTCCGCTGTGACTGGTGGACCGTGTTGTCCTGGACTGAGTCTGGATTCTGGTCTCGGAGCTCTTCAGGCTGAGATACAGGAGCGCTGCGGGATCCCGCGGAGTGTTCTCGCGATGTCACGGTGTCTCGCCCCGCCCCTTAGTTACTGTCGCTAAGGCCGTTTAGAAACATGGCTCCTTGATTTCAGGCAGAAGATGAAGTTTAGTTAGTTGGTTTCCTGAAACCAGCTGATCATATTTGATGTGTATGAGGGAGTGTGCTTCACACAGAGCAGAGTTTTAATGAAGCGCTTGTTATTATCACATCAGAGGCTCATGAAAATATCCTGCTGAAGTTTTTTGTACAACAAAGACAGAAATAACTTCATGTGTCACATTTAATGTTGAATTTACAGGAAGGCAGAATCATTAAGAATTAGTCGTAGACAGCGTTTCACAAAGTTTCTAAAGTGTCCTCTAACTCAACAAGTCACTAAACTGCAGGATTGTTGAAGGGAGTCTGGGACTTTCTCCCCGGGCCACAAAGGAGTAGCTATATTACGGTTACTGTTTAAATGGTGAAATCAGATGAAACAGTTTGTTCACAAACATCTGCTGCTTCTCTCGGCAGCTAAGAGAGTCCAAACACATCATTAACATCACAGTGAAGCTGTTTGTTCACTTAACGGGCCATCGTGTGTTTGTCCAGGTCGGCTCTCTATTCAAATGGGGATCAGCTGCTTGAAAACCCTGCTGGTAAAACCAGCATAATGCATGCTGGTTTTACCAGCAAGACCAGCATATGTTGTGTTTTGGTGCTGGTATGTTGGGCACCAGCACCAGCATTAAATATACCAGCATGGGATGCTGGTGCTGGTATGCTGGTTACTAAAGATGTTGAGGATAGTAGCTTGTTCACCAAGGAGGGATGCTGGATGCTGGACAACCACATTGAATTTTAGTATAATGAAAATGATGAAGATATTATGCTTCTTTGTTACATGTAATACCAAGTTATACCACCAAAATAAAGACATAAATGTTTTCAAAACAGTATTTTCATTTAATAATAACAAGAACCAGTAATCAATTACTGTTTAACATAAAAAACAAGCAAATCACAACATCGTCAAAATGAACAAAACTTAAGTACCCTTACATTGCATGGCACTTTGAGTGCTCTTATTCTCACTGAAGTGGCTGAAGTGAAGACCTTGTGGCTACTCCTACCTTTTAATGTGTGTAGTTTCTGTGGGGTTAAAGGCTGCCTGGTGGTTTTGTTGGAGGGGCATTCTTTCCCCGTGAGGCTCCTTTCCCCCAGGGTTTTAGTGCCCCACATCGCCACTGCCAACTCTTTCACAAATAACGAATCCCTGGTGCTATTCTGGATCCTGGACCACGTCTCTTTTCGAATGCTTACTTCCCCTCCCAAGTGAATCTGGCAAAAATCCAAAACAAAAATAATAAAGGTATTAGATTGTACTTACATATAGAAGTCAGAAACACTTGAAGTGTCGTTGGGGTTCTTACATTAACCCATGCACACAGATGCTGAGGGCAATGTAAACAAATCCTGTACCTCGTCTCCTTTGGGAGAAGCAGAGGGTCCCACCTCATCTGCACAGCCAGACTCTGCAACTATATAAAGCATAATGTAAACATCAACACAACCTGCAAATTCATCCATTTGCAACCCTGTACTTGGTTTAATGCGGGCCTCGATAGTTTTCATAGATCTGTGAGCAATATATTTGTTGCACTTACTTTTTAAGGCCTTCTCTGGGCTTTGTGATACAGGATCTTTGAGAGAAAAAGAACACATATATTACAAATTTGAGAGATGATGAAAAACATGACAAAAAATATTGTAAATCCCCCAGATATAGGCTTCCCTAATTGCATATCCAAAGCTAAAATTTGAATTTGCTTTATGCATAGCTGCTATTCCTTGAATGTTTATGTTTTGTCTTCATTTCCTGGTTCAATCTGGATACCGAGGCATTCCCAGTCCAGGTAAGATTTATAATTCCTCCATGGTCCCTATAATTACCCCATGCTCTCTCAAAAGTCGAATGTGCTTGGAAACCCAAACCTGATACCTGCGTTCTCAAAATCCTGAGACAGCAGAGTAAAATGTGTGCCAATCAGCCCCACCCTTACGAAATTGACCATAGTCTTACTATAATATACTATAAGAATTATATAGTGTCTTGTAGTAAGTTTCTAAAATGTTCAATAGTGTTTTTCACCAGCTACGGTATAGATATACTTTTTTTTAGTTCTGTTTTATTAGCTGTGGGAGCCCTATAATATTTCAATTGTAATACTTATGTACCTAGATCTTTGCAGTATTCCTATATTATTTTAAGAAGTATTACTGTAGAATGTAATGTAGTGTTTGTGTAGTTATTTTTTGAAAACACTATAGAACATTCTTATTGTAATATTATGATGATGATAAAGTGAATTTGTAGTTTACTATAGTCATTTCCTGAAAAAAAAAAAATATGGGAAATACTATAGAGATACTATATAAACACTATAGTATAACAATAACTTTACTTTTTACCAAAGCCAACTCTATAATAATACTATAGTAATTTTCTATAGTGCGTTCCTGTGTTTACACATCAGCAGACAGCACACTTAAACATCGACATACTGCACGTCTAAGTTGCCACAACAGTCAGTAACAGTAGTTGTTGACTGTATGAGAACTGCAAGAGATGAAGAGGGAGAGACGGCCCCTGGATGAGAGAGAGATGTGACCCACGACCAGTTCCTTAGAATTTATAATAACTGCAGCGTGGTTAGGATCCAGATGTTTCATAGAAGAGACACGTTCTGTCTGCCACTGTTAACAGAGACCTGTCTGTAGTGGAGTTCAGACACTTCGCTGATAAACCACAGAGCTGTTGATTTAACATTAGGCTTCATGATCAGAGAAGATTTTTTTTTTCACGATTTCAGCGTACTGCTCTGTATCTGAATGTAGTTGTTCTTATGGAATCAGATTATGGGGCAAAATTGTGAGCAAAATAGAAATGTTGATCATTGGTTATGAAATTGTGCCACAGATAAAATACCACTAAATTACAAAATAAATCATGTCATTAAGAAGCTACATTTTCAGCTGACAAATTGCATTTTTGTTTGAATGGCATCCTCAGAACTTAGTAAAATTGAGGGGGGAAAAAAAATCTGTCCTCACCATTGCATTGCACAGAGTTCAGTGATTTCAGCAAATGTTGCTGCAGTTGTATGTTTAGCGCTCGTAGTGTGCTATTCTCAGCCTCGACTGCTGCTGTGATCTTCTCCTGGTCCGACAACCTGTTACAGAGGGAAATATGTCATAACTACCTGTGATTGGAAGAAACAATAAAAATTATATTTTTTGTGAAATATATAAGTTGAAGTTACCTGCAAAATGAACTTTTTGTCTACCAGCCAACGGCTAATGAATGTTTAAAGTTTTCAAGTAGGTTAAACAAAACACTGGGCTAAAGATCAAATTTCAAGCCATTACATTAATAAAAAAAAACATTCTTAATGCTGTTCAAAACTCCCTTACTTGTTTTTGGTTTCCGGCAGTTGAAGGGACACATCATTAAATTTCTTGAGGTAGAGGCGTTGTTTTTGTTTTGCATCCTCAAAAATTTTTTGAGGAACAACCCCACCATCATCATCATCATCGTTGTCGTCTGCTTCGGAGAACGTATCTGATAAGATATGTGGGCAGAGCGGAGACAGGTTTTTTTTCATTTTTCTTTCCTTAAGTAAGGCCATGAGATTGTTTTTTTTTTGCCTCTTCTGCTGCTTTTTTCTGATTTTTCTGGAAACATGGATAAAAGCATAAATATAAAAAGGCATCACACTGTAATACAAGAGTCCCATACAAACAAACCAAACAAACAAAGCAATGTGAAAACAATATATGGTTAATGGATAGATTTGGAGCATGATATTATTACCATGTGAAGGTCAGAAACGCAAAAACACATTGCAGTACAGATTAAAGTTCATGTCAAAGTTGTATTTTGTAACTGTTAGTTTGATCCAAGTGCCACAAGATGGCAATAGCTGTATTATTTGAAGCCATCAACGTTACATTTACGTCTCACACGGACGCGTTTCCCCTTGGACAGCTGCTCTTTCTCTCGACTCTGGAATGTAAATCACACTGGATGTTAGTACTTGAAATCACCTGCTATAACGTTACGTACTGTTGTTACACACTCCGTTTGCCGTCCTAAGAATAAAGTGTTGAAACTCAGCGGCACTAACGTTAGCTTGCCACCATTAGCTAGCTAACGTTAGCTAGAACGGCTAAACGCGTTAGCCAAAACTCACATCAGTTAAAAACGTTAGCATTAGATAAAAGGTATCCAAGTTTGCCATTTAATTACTCTTATTATGTTCCGAACTATTGGAGGTAATTACTCACCCTTCAGGAACAATACTTGGCCTTTAAAATAGTCCTCCTGCCAGCGCACACAGTAGATCTTATTGCTATTATCACAGTTGCTGTCAAAGTCCTTAATGTAAGAAATAGGGACGATTTCTTTACACCCGTCTTCTATATATCTTACATAAGCAAACATATTTGTTAGTGACATTTATAGCGGAGTTATGATATAATTATATTTTCAAAGTTGATAAGTAACGTTATTCTAAATTTTTTGTGTTAAATCCTATTGTAAAAGTACCAAGTAACTAACGTAACGTTAACCAAGTAATTTCAACGGCGGGAAGCACGCGAGTGAGATGCCCTGTTGCCTTGGATACAGTCTTAGATGTCTAAGACACACTATTCTACTACAATCTGTCAGATAAAGTACTGGGGTTGATTAAACTTAAACACATCTGTAAAACACAGCCCTTTTACACAGTCACAGTATTGTACCCTTCAGTAGGAGGATTTTTACAGGACTGTAGTATTGGGCTGCAGTTGTACAAAGTAATCTGGCAACTGAGAATATGTCACAATTTTTATTAGTGCCACAACCCCAAAACCCTAGTCCGCAAACGAATGGTTAATTTAAACTAACTAGTTCAGTTTGTTCAGGCAGTGGGAGGATTAGAGGACATTTCCAACAATGTTTCCTTATCAGTGAGTTTTTTTTAAGGGGTGTGTGAGTCTCAGCTTTTAGTAACTTAATTATTGTTTAAATTCAACATCCTGTTATTCATGAATATGTCTGTTAATCATGATGTCAATGTTGTTTTTTATTTTAAGAATGTCAAAACGCAAGTACAAATTGAACCTAACAGCAATTAAATTACCCCGTGCAAGACTGAAAAGAGGACATAATGTAAGTAATTCCATGAGAAATAATTATTGTAATTTGTAGGATAATAATTATTCAAAGGATTAATAACTTTAGTCTTTTACCTGATGATCTGCTTTAAAGATGGTAGATGGTTAAAATTGTTTTATTTTTTCAGGCATTGCTCTTCACAGATGACTGCAGATTTGATCTTGATCAAGGAGGATCACACACTGCAGATGTTGAGGTGAGAATTCCTGTATGTTTTCATATCGCAATGTATATCGCAGAAAAGAAAATATTGCAGTGTCATTTTCCAAAATTGTGCATCTCTAATTGTGTTTATGCCATCTTTTCTTCATATTGTGCAGACCATGTCTACATCTGGCCACTTGAAGCCTACACAGCAATCTGATCCAGATCACACGGCTGATCAGGTGAGCTCTACAACCAAACCGTGGGTGCGAGGTTGTCGGATGCTGCCAAAATGTTTTTCTAAATTAAACTTCTGTGTGTTTAGGCCTTGCCCTATGCAGAATACAGCTTCTGGATCAGATACTGCAGATGTTGAGGTGAGAGAGTAATATTCTCTTTGTGGCTAGTGGTCATTTTCCACTGTGCCTTACCACTTTTAATACTGTGTGATTGTGCCATCTCTTCTTTATCCTGTGCAGACCATGTCTCCATCTGGCCATCTTGATCTTCAGTTGGATCCAGATGACACAATGGTGAGCTCTTCTACCAACCACATCTGAGGGTTGTTTAAAAAAAGATTGTCTGTTAAGCCAGCTTAATTTCAAATTCTACTTTATAAAGTAGGTTGACCAGGTTCCATGGAAAAGTATTGTTTGGACTAGTCTAATCCTGGTCAAGCTAGTTTTGAGGCTTAGCTTCACCTCAGACTCATCCAGTGCGACAATCTACCAGCAGTCCAGCCTGTATGACTCTCCATATTCCAAGTTCTTCCTAGTGAAGAGCTCTGTGGATCAAATCATACAAGTTGCAAGGATTTGAAATTAAGCAGAATTGAGATTCCTTATAGCAGCAGGAAAAGAAGCTGTTTTAAAACTGGATTGTTATGATGGACAAGGACCTGTAGCTCCTCCCAGAGGGACGAGGCATGTGAATGACACGAAACAGTTACACAGTTGAGGCCAAAATTATTAAGAATTATCAAACATTTTCCTGAAACTTGATATATTCAAACATTCAACAATGCTATTTAGTAGCTTTTGGTACATTTTGTAATATAAAATAAATTATTTATATTTATTTTTTGTTTTATATCAAATATAGTAAAAACGGGGTGGTCAAAAATATTAGTGAATTTTTGCTTTCAAAACACACCTAATTAACCAATCAGCTTCCTAACAACAACTGAGCATTTAATCAGCATAAAATGACTCCAAGGAACAGGGCACTCATTATTATTATTACACATTATTGAGAGGCTACTGAAAAGTCTCATGGCTCATGATAAAGGGAAGGCATGTCCAAGCGTTTCCCAGTGTCTAGAACCGCTGTATGTTGCCTCATTGCCAAGTAGGAGACAAAATTCTGTAAGAAACAAACCTAGGGGTGGTCATAAGCGCAAGATTTCAATAATTCTGGAGGGGAAAATAGTCAGAAATGTCAAGAAGCCACATGGATGTTGCTTATGTTTAGCGAAGAAACCCTAAGAACCCAGTCCACAGTTCAACATGGTGGTGGGAGCATCATGCTGTGGGACTGTTTTGCAGCCTCAGGCCTTGGGCAGGTGTATGGCATCATGAAGGAAGAAAATTATGTTGAAATTTTGAGGAATAATATGCAGAAATCTGCTCGTAGTCTATTCTTAGGTTGTCGCTGGGTCTTCCACTAGGGCTAATAATTTTGGCCTCAACTGTAGGTCAAAAACTTCACCAGGTATTGTTTTTATCAAGTTTGAGTTAGTCTGTCATATGAAAAAGTTAAATCCTAGTTCAGTTTCTTCAAGTTTAAGTAGACGTTTTGGCTTTGTTCAATAATAATCGTCACTTATTATCTACTCCCTACACCCTGTCTAGGGAGTTCTATGTAGAAAACTGTATTTTAAGCTCACCGGTAAAATGAAAACAGGGCTTATCCTCTAGGCACCATTAATTAAGTCATTGCTGTCGTACAATTAAAATGACCAATTTTTTTATATATTGGTGCAATGTGTGATAGTATATAGGCTATGGATTAGTTATTGGTCATTCAGCTGTCTGTAAACAGAGCGAGTGAGAGAGAATAAGCATGTGTATTTTACATTATACATAATCTGCCTCAATGACTTTTTTCAAATGTATGTTATTCACATCTAGTTTATCCTTTTACCAGCACTCGTTAATTCTAACCAAAGCTACAAGAAACCATTTAACCACCATCGGTATAAATCATCCCGTCTATGATGCAGTGACCTGCTGTTGAATGCATTTAATACTACAGGACTGTCTACGACAAGGACTTGCAGCTTCAAGATCTCATTTTACTATAACTACAACATTACACATTCACTTTCACAAGAGGAACTAGATAAATTTGTTTGGCAGGAAGCCGTGGTTTAATCATTTCTGACACACCAACTGTAACTACTGATATATTTAGAATAAGTTAAACACTATAAATCCAATTAACTCATATCGGCCGATAAATCGGTTACGCTCTATCTGGGATAGTCCACTTAGTTCACTTGGTGTATGTTTTGTTGAAATTGTTTTCTAAATGTCTCTTTGTGCTTTCAGATACTACCTTTTGCTGTCAACGGGAGAGAAAATGAAAGTGAAGTCAGACCAGGTTCAAGCTGCACAAATCACGAGGTCAGGGCAGGGCACAACCATTACTGTGACACTGGTCAGGCATAAGTTTTACTGTCATTGTATGTAGACATACACTCATGAATGTGTTTTCTTGTCATTTTGTAGCCCATGTCTTCATCTGATCACCTTCTGCTTACATCTGAGCTGCAGTCAAGTGAGATGGCCCAGCAGTTTGATTGTGATTCATCATCTGAAAGCAGTGTTTCTGGAGTTGATTCAGAAATTCCAGATCTCCCAGAAGATGATCCATTCAGACAGAAAGGTTTTGACACAGACATGGATTTGGTACTAATGTCAGCAGGTACAACGACAGAGGCTGAGG